CAGAAAGAAGATGCTGTTGCTATCTCGGGCTCTGTGTTGGGACTTGGCATCGAGAAGAGCATGGGAAGAAGGGAAAAACTGTGTCTGAGAGGAATCCATGCCTTCACAGACCTCTCTGCTTCCCCTTTAGACTTTATCAGGAGGGGCGCTCCCTTGCTTTGTGCCAAAACTGCACCCCTGGAGAGGGAGAAAAGGAAGCAGAGAGGGGACTTTGTACGAGACACCGTCTTTCATCAGGTGCTGATGTTGCTTCAAGCACTAGAAGGAAATCCAGGGAACTCTTTATCCCAAAGCATCAGCTGCTCTTGTTTTCCTTCCAGATGTCTTTCATGAGCTGGTTCAGGGACACATCTTCTCCCCCCGCAGAGGAGGTGTGGGGCACCCTCCCTCCCCTCGAGACGCCTCAGCCCTGTACCTCAGCCCCGCACGCTAACAGCGAGGTTATCAGCTCATCTGGGAGGGGAGGGAAAGCTGGAGGCTAGATGCTGGGGGCCAACAGTGGGGACAGTGCCTGAGGCCACCCGGTGCCACGCACTCCTGAAATGTGCGCCCTGTGAGAAGTCTGGAAGCAAGGCAGGGAGGGCGGGCGCTCCCACTGTTGGCTGCGGGTAGCAATTCTTATTTGTTGTATAAAAACCACCAAAACTTACGATTTCCATGGGAAATCAAAGTGTTAAGCAGTTTATTTCCTTTATATCATTAAGAATGGCTAAATCTCTAGACTTATCACAGAGACACAGCATGCACAGTCCCCCAGCTCCACACGGCAGAGCCTTGAAGCGGCATGCCCTGCCCACGCCGAGCCCCAGCGCTGCATGGCAGCTTTCACAGAACTTGCAGCAGGGCTGGCCAGCCCCAACAGGCAGCCCCACGCCAGGCAGCCCCTCTGCTAGGGCAGACCCGAGTCCTCGGGCAGTCCTGGTGGGGCAGGCGCTGACAACAGAGACCGGGAGTTACTCCTGTGCTGCTGGCGGCTAAGTTTACCTTGCTGACGAGCACAAGTGTTCTCTGCAGACACCTTTTAACTTCCAGCAGGCTCTGAACTGTATACAAGAAGTATCATATAAATGCACCTGATAAGGAGTGTCAATGGAATAAGAGAAGACGGAGAAAGCAGAGAAAGATTGTAATAGATAAAAGAGCAGTGGGTACATTTTGACCAAGCAAGAGAAGGCCAGCTGCTGTCTGCAGGAAGAGATTTGCATCTTTGCCCAGTATGTGTGTGGTCCAGAGACTGTCAGGCTAATGATGTGTTTCTCATCTACTTTAAAGTCCATTTCCTCCCTGCTGGTAGCTACTTAAAGGCATGGCAAGGCAGTTACAATAAATAAGAATCACGCAAGCATGCGCTGCTCACCATAAATCGCTGCTTGTTCTTTGGTTGATGTAAAAATTGGACTAACAGGAAACTCTCAACCTACGTGTGCTATCTTTTAGAGTTTTCTTGTTTCTTCTGCTAATAGTACTGCATTTATTAAACTCACATCCAAAATTCTATGTACTTTAAAGCATTTCTATAGTTTTCTCACTTTTCCTACGTCACTTATGTTGACTTGCAAAACTGGTCTGATATATTTCACTCTGGTCCCAGCTACTTTCCACTCACTTTTTGTAGGGGAAAAAGATTGTTTTATTCTCCTGAATGAAAACAAAAAATCAGAAATTTAGCAGTCAGGATTTACCTTTACTCTCAGGAGTCTATAGCCCTTAATTTGCATCTATTTCTAACAATCAGATGCAAGAAACTCATCTCCCAACCACATTATGCTCCTATCTTTGTACCTCTGCAATTTCTCTGATCAAAATGTCTTTTACATTTGTGGCTGTAGAATCCAGCTTCACCACAAGGCTCTAGAAACACTCTACAAAACGGAACTAGCAAGAAAGGAGAAGCAATGGCTGGCAACTTTTTGGCTGTTGATTTCAACTCCTGAAGCATCTTTAAAGTAGTCTCAGAAACGGAGCAAGCAGTGACTACTCTTTGGTACCTCTCAAGGATCATCTCACATAACGATTTTTCTAAAACGTTTGCTTACCTCCTCTGTGATATCAATCTTCAGAACTGCCGTGGTACTGAAGGACGGGGAGCCTCGGTCTTTGGCCTGCACCACCACTGACCATATGCAGTCTTTGTTCTTTGTGATGTTGTGGATGATGTCCAGGGAACGGATATAGGATTTCAGCTTGATTTCCCCTGTGCTTTGGTCTATATCAAACACATTGGCTGGATCTGCTTGCATGATGGAATAATCGACAATGTTGTTGGGTTCTTCTGCATCTTGATCTATAGCCTGGTAGGGGAATTGTAAAGAACAAAGATGTTATTGTTTGTATCTTTGCCTGAAGATAAAACTCTCAAAGTTTCTGAGCATTCACTTCCAATAATATCCATGCTGTGAGATGACTGGGCTGTTTTTGTTTCATCTTCGAAACAATTTCCCGTTTTTTGGTATCAGCTATGCTACATTTACTAGTGAAAAACAGCAGGACTAGAGTTCTTTTTGTATAAGCGATTTTTATTTGAGATTAAATAAAATCAGAGGAAAAACTGAACCGTAACCTATCTGTAGAATGCAAATGGTCCACTGCTGGGGAATTTCTCACACAGCGTGGGGGACAAATGTGAGGTGAATAGAGAACAATGGGATTAGCTCCACACTATAAACTATAGCTGCCTTAATTTTTGTGGTATTTATTCTGCTAAGATTAGGTGTTGTGTAATTAGGCTTCACTATATGCATTCAAATATGTGTAACATAGGATGTTCTGCTCCTTTGCTTGTGAATTGTTATTGCATTTTTTTTACCTCCTGTTCCACACTGGATCAATGAAAAATTCTGCAAAGTGAAGGGAAAGAAGTTGTGTGGTTGAACACAAAGGCGTGGCAGGAAGCTTAAGTATTCAAAACCCTGTACTTTCATTCACTCATCTTTTTTAGGCTTCATATGATCACTGTATAATCCAGGATCCTCCACCAGCTGACGGTTCAAATATTGTAACAGAACTTTATCTTTTCCCTGTAGAATTTATTTCTCCTTCTCAGCAGTCTGTAAATACTATCATTCCATGCTTTAATCCATTTGTTACATACAAATGGATGTGCAAAATAAAGCCCCTGGAAAAGCCAACTTTCAGGCATTCATCATGATCCCTGAGCAATAAACAGCAGAGCCGGGGCTTTTCCAAAGCACTCTGCTTTGTGACACACCGTGTCGTCTCTCACCTCTATCTTCACTGGTGACCCGATGATCATCGTCTTTTCCTGGATGTTTTCATTGAACTCTGGAGAGTGGTCATTGACATCTAGCACAGTGATAAACACTTCAGCCAAGCTGTATTTCCCATCGGTGTCCTCTGCCTTCACATAGAAATTATACTTTGAGTTCACTTCAGCATCTAATACAGCCCAGGGCTGGGTGTAAATTATTCCTGTTGACGGGTGGATTAGGAACCTGGAAAAGAAGCATGGAAAGACTTCTGGGTTTTTTGGTCACTTAGTGTGTGTTTACAGCCTGGGGCAAAGGTGGGCTGTAAATATCGAAATGCTGTGCCCAAAGATTGGTACTCTTCACCTAACTCCTGTCTGGCTGATGTTTCCAAATCATTCACTCTACCTACTTTTGGCTAGTTCCTTTAGGCTTGAAAACCAGAGAACTATCAGTGTTTGGTGTTTTTCTATCTATTGTGCATTAGCCATTTTAGCTGCATTTTCTGTTAAAGCCTTTGTCCTCAGTAAATGCTCAGTGTGATGGCCTTCTCCAGAGTGATTTCTTTGTGTTAAAACATTAAGGAACTGACTAATTTTTTTTCAGTTTATAAGTACAATGTATTAGATCATGTCCTGCATAGATTAAGATTGATTGATATCACCTCAATAGCTAAGGGAAGTATGCTGCATATCATATTTAAGCTCTTCTCTTCTCAGAATGGGTAAGAAAAATGGCTGCTCTCAAATGCCCCAAAGTGCAGGGCAAATTATCTCCTCCAAAAATGATCACTTTTCCATAGACTGGCAGTGGGGTGGAGTGGGTGTTCAGATTTATCTGTAGCAAGTTCAATTCTACACATTTGTAATTACTGAGACACTGTCAAAAGTGTCAGCCAAAAGCCTGGATTTATAGAGAAGATACGAACCCACTGTCTTTTTAAAATGGACTGCTGGTGTAGGCTCCAAGCAGTAGGGTTTTTAACAGATGAAAGGTTTCATATACCCTTTAATTAATGTACAGGATAACAAAATATTTTCTGTATTCTAACTGTGAGTTCAATTGAGATTACAAAAGGGGCACTTAATAATCCAGAATCTTCAATTGTTTTCATTACCCTGTTAAATACAAATACAAGTCTTGATGAAAGCCAAGAACTGGAGGTGGAAAGAGCTGTGCAAACTCTTGGTAGGAGACAGGGCCTGTGCTGAGTGCCTCCTTAGCACCCAACCCAGCCTAACCATGCACAGAGGACTCTCACTGCACCCATTTTAGTGGAAGAATAGAAGCACTGAGATGTGAAGAGATTACAGCAGTGTACCCCCCTCCCACTGGCAGCTTGGATGTAGGATTACCAGCACAATGGTTTTATCTTCAACAGTTTACACTATTCCTCTTACTCCAGTACAACTAATTTTTCTGCCAATGCCACTGCATATCCACTGATGTAACCCCTGAGACAGAAAAAATCATGCCTCTGATTGAAACTCTCAAATCTGAATCAAACTGTGTGTTCAGCAGATCTGGAGGTCCCAGAGCTAGGGAATCAATCCAGCCTTGCAGAGCCATGCCATTCTGGCACAAGGAAAAGAAAAAAAAAAAACCCCATACTTAAGAAGGAAAAAAAAGTCTTCACATCTTAATTTCCTCATTCCACAGCATAAGAACAGTGAATCTGAACGTCCCCATAACTCCAATCAGGATGTAGTTCCACTCACAGTTTTTTCTAAATCCTTTGTCAACAACCTGCACAAGCTTCTTTACACCAACTGCTACATTTTAAACCTAAGAGGTCTGCCTGCACGACATGACCTTTGCCTGCTTGCCTCTATGCAGTTAGCAGCTAGCTTAAGGACTTAGTGAAGAGCTCAAAATAATCCATCCTGGAAATGCGCCTATATGTGTATCCTTCTGGCTACAGAAGAGGTTCACCCTTAACATCTTGGATTTTGGACTTTGATTGTGCCTCCTAAATGGCTTTGACTGTAACAAGAAGTGTTCAGCTTTAACTCCGGGTGGATAACATACAGAGAAAAATGGATTCTGGAGATGAGTGCCTGAAAAGCTCGTTCATTTCCAATACTCTGCCCTGCAGCCCCACCATGTCCAGCAGGAGCTGCAGGTTTCAGCAGCAATGTCTGTGATGGCCAGTGACGCTCGCCATGGCTGGGAGCCCCAACCAACAGGCCAGGGCAACTGCTTCCAGGGATGGAAGCAATGTGGGAGAAACCAGTGTTTCAGGATGTTTTTACCCCAGCACTGTCCCCAAAGACAGGGAGAGGGAGCTAGGCATCATTACAAAGTCAAGTAAGCATCAGATTCCCTTCTTCCCTAATGCAGGACTATGAGGTTTAAATATCTAAAATGCTTTGAACACCCAATGCAAATGGCCTCCAAAGCTAAAGTTTATATTCTTGAAAGTCTTGTCGTCTTTGATTTATTTTGAGAAGAGTTGAAACTGAACTATTTGTACAGCTATATGGAAAGGGAAGGGGAAAGAGCAAGCAATTTTTTTTTCCTCCAGAATTGACTTTTCACAATAACTAGACCAAAACCTCCTCTTTCTCTTATAAGCGTTTTTCAAATGGTGATTGAACAGATCCTGTGTATTGGTACTTCAGCTGCCTTATGTCTCTTTGGGGGCTTGTGGGTAAAATTCCATGGGTTCATGAAGCAGATGTTTAATGATCACATGAGTTTTTCTGTTGTTGTTTTCACAGAACTCACAAAGAACATGGCATAAATGTCCTTGGAAATGAGGAGGTCAAGAATGAGCCTTTTCTTTTTTTTTTTTTTTTTTAAATAATTATTTTAAAACTCTGCTTAGAGGTTATGTAGTTTTCTTTTTTTTTTTTTTACTTACAGATCTGCTCCTGTTCCATAGATAGAGTACTTGACTTCTCCCCAAAGCCCTGAATCTGGATCTGTAGCCTTAAGAAAAGAAAATAAGAGAGTCATCCTGTACTAAACTGCAAAAATAAATGTTTCATTTTTCTTTTAACAACAGGCCATGTAAAAACCCAAATGCTTTCCCCTTTTTTTGCCATCACATTTTTAGGGGGAAATCACATAAACAAATGTGCATCTAGAAAACTGCAAAATCTAACACAAGGAAATGTCACTGGCTGTCCCAGGGAAGCTGCTAAGATGCCGCCTGTCTCCTGGCCAGGCTGGCGCCCAGAGGCTCTAGCAGGGAGAAAGCCACTAGATGGCTCCATCTATTGACATTTAACACATCCTTCCTTTCATAGAGATGAAGCTAATCTCAATGACGCAAACAAACAGCCTACTTTCAAGCCTTCCTAATTATCAGTTAAATATTAATGTATATTCCCTAGACAAAATTATTTACTTTATATAGGGTATTTTTAAGCTTGTTTAATTGATTCAATTTAAAGTAATGCATAACAAATGTTTCAATCTATACACAATATTTCAGCTTTGCTTAGATTTTAATCACTCTTGTGCCTGCGTGACTTTTAGTAATGCAGATACTACACCAGACGATATCTTTGTTCCGGACTCTTGTTGGCTTCCTTTCTTAGCTCAGGATTAGGAAAGCTATTATTTGGTAGCTCCTGCTCCTCCGATAGCTCTGAGGAGGTTTTATATTATACTGTTGTATCTGGCCACCAAAATTCATGGCGGCAGTGGTTGGTTCATTCATCTTCCTGTTTAAATATCTGAAAACTGGAACAATGTCTTTGATTCCCGCACGGTTAACAAAACACACCTGCACCCCTACTAATAGGTGTTTCTTAGTTCTTTGACATAAGCTTGTCAGATTCTCTCACCCCGTAATTTTGACCGCAGCCTACTTTAGGACTGCCTAACTTTTCCTGAAACATTTGCACACCTGGGATTTCTGCCAGAATTGCCATCCTGATTACTTGGAGTATCTCAGTTTGTCAAGTGTATTTGTGAATCTGGGTCAAGTACTGAGTTGACAGCACATGACAGTAAATTTTACACGGACTCCTCAGCTATGCTGTCCTGTGCACCTTGGCTCAGAATGGCTAGTTTTGTTGCTTTTGCAAACTTCTTTTACATCTCTTTTTTTGCTGTCCATCTCCTAGAATTTTTTATTCCTCTTCCTGCAAAGACAGTGATGTTTGGGAGTCTCTGTTTTCTACAGCTTTCCTATTAGTTTCCTCTAATAACCTTTTCTGTATCGTTTATGTTCCACATCTTCTTTCATTCTTCTACCCCTAAAATTTGCCTTCAGCACTTTATTATTCTGATTATTTAATTTTCTTTCTTACTTGCAGGCAGCCTGTGCTGGAGACCTCTGGCAACCTGCCACCATCATCCTTACCAGTGAGGCCCCTGCAAGGTGACTTTCATCACCCACCGAGCCCCACATGGCCACGAGCTTTCTCGGCTTTGCGACATGAAATCTGTTTCCAGTCCTAGCAGCTGCATTAAAGAGACACAGCTCACACCAACGGCTGGAAATGCTTCTCCAGCACATAGGGCCCATGTAATACCCTGACTTACTTTCTATGAAAATGTGAGATACTGGAAAATCCATAGGCATATTTTTCCCCACTGTGAGAAGATACACAGGGAGCTTTCTTTCCCAGCTCTAAGCATTTTAATGTTATATTCTTGCCTTCATTAACTGTCTAATTATACATTTAACAGCCAAATTCCTCCCAGGAGGAGGAGACTAATACCTACTAAGCAGCCATCTTGTTTTCTTTTTACTCGTACTTCAGCAAGCAAATCCAGTAAATCCAATTCCACTTAGTCATAACTGAATCTTCCTGCTGGACACTGATTTGACTGGGGCTTTCTTAGTGCTCACAGGTGATGTGATTTGTCTTAAAAGCAGATGGCCTTTAATTAAAAACAAAGTAAATTTGTTGTTCTGAAAAATGTTTGCCTAAAACTTTATTTTTTCAGAAGTGGTTTTTTTTTTTTTTTGGTTGATTCTGGAAAGGAACTGGAGTTCAGTCTGGAAGCTGAATGGCGAGTAAGATTTGCTACTTTGCCTCTGTCCACTATTTTTAAGGTACTTGAACTGCCTCCACAGACACCTAGAAAAGAGAGCATTTCTTAAGAGATGAATGAAACTTACTGTAACAGCAACTACGTTTGAGCCCCCCGGGGAGTTCTCGGGGATCCTGGCAATGTAGTAGTCGGAGGAGAACTTCGGGACATTGTCATTGGTATCCAGCAAGCGTATCACTATGTCAGCTGTCGAGCTGAATTTCTCCGGTGTGTTCACCTCTATTGCAAGAAGCTAAGAAGAGAAAACCAGGAAATTACTACAAAGCAGCTGTTATTACTTCTTAAAGGAGCTTCCTTCCGCTACGCATGGCACATTGGTGCATTTTAGCCTGGTTGGACCAGACAGCTCAAAACCAGGGAGATGATGAGCTAGGTCAGTGTGCAGCCTATGCTTATTTGTGCATGCTTGCAATGGGCAATCAAGCTGTGGAAAGAGGACTTCAAACCTGTGTATACATATTAGACTTCACGTGACAGATGTGATCGGTCATAACTAACCAACACAACTCAAAAAGCCATAACAGAAGCAAGGAAACACTCACCCCTGGGCAGCTCCTAGAACTTAGGGAAACATAGGCACTGAATAATTTTGAATAATCACATAAATTGAATCATGATCCTTTGCAGAGGAAGCATAAATTCTTCATCAGGAATGCAGTCAGGGCAGTAGACTGCACCAAACAGGGTAAAGAGATGAGAGAACCGGTGGCCTGGGATGTTTGGAAGCAGCAGTACAGGATCAGGCATGTACAGCAGAATCCCATTTCACAAAGTTTGTGAGAACTCCTACCACCAGGCTTCTTGAGACTCTACCCTCGCTGCCTCATGCTGATTAAGACTTTATCATATACCCACCAGCACTTTTGAATTGCCTCACTGTCTCTGAGGAGGAACAGAGAGCTCTGGCATAACACATTCTCATAACTCTGCTCAGCTGAACGGGTAGGCAACCACATACAGCAAGACCAGGGATGGGGAGAAGCCAGCAGCACGGATGTTCTGGCTGGCTGTCAGCAGAGCTTAACGCTAGTACATGCCTATCTCATCCCTCAGCTGAGGGATGGCACTGCTGGGTTAGCAAGTAGGTTTCTCGCATCGCCCCGTAATGCACAGCTAATTGATGTAGGGAAGAGCAGCCACCACAGAGAAGGAACAGGATAACTCAGGCATCTGGCAGCTCTCAGTAGGCAGCAGGGAGCTCTCAGATCCCCCCTTGGGAACAGAACTGAGCAAGTATTTGGTGAGTCACCTCCAAAGCCTCAGACAAGCACTGTCCACAGGACTTCAGCTACTTAGCACCGCATGTTTTCTCTCTTACTCTAACAGTTTAACACAAAATAGCAACAGTGTTTCTACCGTGTCTCTGTTTGCTTCTCAGTAGGTTAGGGGAATGGCAGTAGGAAGCCTGAGCTGGTAGAGCAGCAAGCCTATTGCTCAGGTGGTGTGCGACTGAGCAAGGAAGAGCAGTTTCAGCAACAGGTACTGAGAGACACCGAGCCCTTCACAGCCTCCGGCCCAGGCGCCTGGTCCCTTCTTTGAAGGGACAGTCATACAAACATCAGCAAAAAACTGCTTATGAGCAACCTCAGCTCCTAAAGCAGCACAGAGAAAATCTTATTGCTTATCGTGCACATGGAGCTATAACTAAATTATAACATCTGCAGTGAAATAATCTTTGCTGCTGGAATCAGCCCATCTTAGAATACCTTATGAGGGCTTAGCATTTTTACTTTGTTTTCTACATTCATTTTTTATTCACTCTCCTTTTAGCAGCCGTAGTCCAGCTATGTCAACATGCTGACAAGATCTTCCTTCAGGGAGGGATTTTTGTCAGCTTACTTGCCTGCAACGTCTTAAGCAGAGCTGTATTGTTTGTTTTATGCAGAGAGAAAAAAATAGCATAAAACTATTACTTCACAGGACTACGTATCGGCAATTAATACACGTGCCAGAAGAGCAAACAGATATAATCTTAAAAGTCGCAGGTGAATTTTTAAAACAGAGTTTGATTTTGGCAGCTGAAGATAATTGCATCCTCATGCAGTCCCATTCTGCAGGAGATGTGAGTGTCTGCAGAGTGCGAGGGGTAGGTCCAGGCTCCTGTCAAGGGGGGATGTGCTGGAGACTGAAGGAGGTGGAGGCAGGAGGTTTGGCCCCCAGAGCATGTCAGCCCATGACAAGGTGGGACAGCAACATCTGGCCCCTGTGGCAGAGGGACTTGAGATCTCAGAGGCCAGGCTGGAGGGATACGAATTACCACAGCTGCCGTACCTTGGGAAACCCACTCGAGCTCTTGGACAGCTGAAAATGAAGGAGCTCCTGACTACCAACTGCATTTAAGAGCCAGCCCTACATGGAAGATAGATTTTTCTCTAGCAGTCTTCGCTTCAGGTAGTTTTTCAGCGCACTTCTCAGTCAAATTACCTTTAATTCCTCTCTGGCATTTTACTGTTCAGTGACAAACCAGAGGAGAGGGATCATTGTTTACAGAAAAAAACCCTCTGAAAATAGCTTCTCAAAGCTGCTGTGGGATACATGTTAAATAGAAATAAGAATATACCTCATCCAAAGTTCTAACCAGAGTGACTACATTGGCAACTAAAACTGGGTAGGAAGCGATTTGAACTTTTCAGGGAAACGGAGACAGCAATGAAGTATTTGCTGCCATATATTACTACCATATCATCCAGCTGCACCTTCTTCATTTGGAATCTAGACAAAGGCTCTGCATTTTTAGCAAAGCCTTATGGTCTTTCTCCAGTAGAAATAATTTCATCCAAAAAAAAAAGTGAATAGCTGCTTAAGCTAAAAAAATGTATATCCTTTTTCCTGGTAATTAATTCTTTCAGTGTTCATGGCAATCACATTAACTACTTTGATTTCTATTAGTATTCATGAGGAGGCCATGTGTAACTTCTTTACTGGTCTTTTGGTAGTTTAACCTGAATAAATGTGCGCTTATTATAATTAGTTTCGGTAGCACTTTATAGCCCTTTCAGAATCTGCCATTTTAATACAGTAATGATGCCTCATATTTTTGTAGCATCTATAACCTATGAAGCTCAAAACGACCAAGGAACATTACAAGAGGAGACATGAAGCATACTGCAGTGAAATGACTTGCTAAGGACACAAAGCAAACCATGTAGCAAGGGTGAGAACAAAATCCAGGAAGTTGGCTTGTGGACTGTGCTAAAAATGCCACTTTCTGTACAAAATCAAAACTAGCATATGTTAATACTCAGCTAGATAGTTTTGGCAATTTTTTTTTTAATGATTACAGGGATTGTCTACGCCATTCTTTTCAGTCAGAACTGAACCATCTATACTCATGTTCAGAGGCAGCTGACACAAAACCAGACTACTTAATTATCTTGTTGATGAGCCAATGAATCCATCAGGGAAGGTGATAATGCAAGGGTCCAGCTTTTGGATGAAAGCTGGTTCTTGTACGGCTGGCTTAGAGCATGGGTGAGAGAGCCTCAGGTCAGTCTGCAAAAGGCCATATAGATGGATACACTCTGACAAAGGCAGTGAGCAATTTTGGGAAATTATCTTCCAGTCAGCTGGGGCCCTCAGCCTGCCAACATTCAAAAGCATGATCATGAACCAAATTACTTAGGACTAAGCAGGTAAAGTGCTGGCTCTAGAGAAATTAGGATTTAATCTGTGAATTTATCATTGTAAGAGCAGAAATAACACCCTTAGGGTTCAGTCTGGAATGACTCAGCCACCAACATGTGCAGTTTCCACAGAGAGATAATACTCAACATTTTGCACTGGCTGGACCAAATTAGTCCACAGATGCATCCATTAAACCTTTGAAAGTTGATGAAACGGGCAGAAATGAGTTTCCCTTACGTGGACTATAATGTCACTGACAATGCATCAGACAGCTCCAGGTGGATTAAGAAGCTAAATCCCATCAGATACATAAGCCATCATAAACATATCATATACACAGGCAGAGAGGACCCGGAAAGCAGAAGTACCTTGAAGGTTAACACTGTGAATTTTTCATAGTCAATAGCAGCAGAATTTTCCACTATTATTGTAACCTGAGCCTCATTCAGGACAGTTTGGGGAACCACTCGGAAGATGCCACCAGGTCCAACAAGACGGAGGTTGAATTTAGCATTGGCTCCCTGTGAATGAAAGCAGATACGGCATTGTTTTCAGTGAACGATGCATTTCTTACAGCCTAGATTGGCTCTGTTTCTTCTATAAAATTAGAATGAGTTTTACTGCTTCGAGCCCCCTGCTCTCCATCCCCTGGGCAAGAGACTGCTAAGAAGCTTAGTTATATAATCCCTCCAGCCCTGGTCACAAGACGGACACGGCTTTTCTTAAAATAGATTGACAAGCTTGGTTATTCTTTCAGTCATAATGGAAAAAACCCACAGCAGGATTGGCTAAGAGAGGGACTCTTGTGGTGAGCAGCCTTGGGCTTTGCGCCACACACTGTGAGCTAGTGCAGGTGACAGAGATGACACCACGTGCACATCGGCAGGGAAGTCCTGCCTCCTCCTGGTTCCTGCCAAGGAAAGACAACTGAACTGCCCAAATCAGGACAATGGACCCCTCAAAAACCCAGCCGGTGTCCTAAGAGCTCACAGCCTGGGATGATGATGCAATTTCCAAACAGAGGTGGTACTCCACAGTTTGCATGGACTGGGTTAAGCTAGCCCAGAGTTACAACCACTAAACCTTTTGGAAGTTGTGCAGGATGAAATATGACACACATTTGACAGCTCGAGGTGAAGTGAGAAGCCAAATCCCATAATACAGATAAACCTTCTAGCTAGAGAGGACATGGGAAGCAGCAATATCTAGAAGGTTACCACCACTTGTGTGCAAGTTTGGAAGAGTGAGCCACAGCCAGATGGACAGATCAATTCTTTTAAACCAAAGTGGAGCATGGAAAAGAAAAATGAAATGGGGATTCTCATATTTCTGCCTTACTGCGGAGCTGAGCCCATTTAACCAACTCTCTGAGTTCATCAATTTCTCAAACCATGTCACAGTGTAACTGTGACAACCAGCCAGATTCACTGCCTGGCTAGTGCCATGTTCTCCCCCTAGCATGAATCTTGAGATGAAGAATTTCTGATAATAGCTTTCATACAGGATAACTCTACTTTCAGCTGTATTCCTGGAAGACTTGTTATGAGCGGTTCTTGCTGCAACCCTAGCTCATGTCAAGAGGAAAAGTATTCAGCAGTAGTTCCCCAAAGGGACCAGAATGATCTTGGATCCAAACTCAGTGGTCTATGTTGTTTGGTCATACAAACCCCCACAGCTACGGAGATGACAACAGGCTCTCTTTTGCTGGATAGTAAAGCCAAACACACAAAGCCAGAGCTGCTGGACTATGGAAAATAGTGCTGATGGAGAAAGTGGACCGTTTCACCACACAAAGTCCTCTGCACTTGGGACTGTACATGACTGGAGGGACGGTGGCACTGGCGGGGAGAGAACTGCCTCTCTCCAATGGCTGAGTGATTTCTGACAGTGATGCCCACTGAACCCAGATCTGCTCAGAGCAAGCCATGCTGTTGCATGTCTTCAAGCAGACAGCCGTGGGACACAGGAATGACTGAAGGAACAACAGCACTGAGCCCTAAGCTGTGTCTGTTGGATGAAGAGGACTGGGGGAGAAATTTCTGCATAATGTTCTTGCAAGTAAAGATGGCATTTCCATCAAAGTGTAGGCCTAAAACAGACCTTGCCCACAGCTTCCTCCTCCTCACCTGTACCATCCACTCACCCAAAAGAAAGAGTCACTAATGGCTGTGACAGAAACAGAAATATGTTTAATTTTCTTCTTTATATAGTCCTCTTGTGCAGAAGGGAAATCACCGCATTCTATGCCTCAAAAAAAAAGCAACCCAGCCCCCCTAGAATGATGTCTTACACTGTATTAAGAAGCTTCTTGAGAAATCTATACAGTGTATTTAGCAATGTTTTCTTCTTATTTTATAGCCTAACTTGCAGCCTGAATATTTTGTCAGCTTACATATGATACGTATATATTTTGTCTGTGAATAGAAGAGATGGGTTTTGTTTCTTTCCTTCTGCAGCAACATCCCCTGTGACAATAGCAGGATAGATGTAGCACTGCTTTGAAAGCAGTCATTTATCTGCTTGCTGCAGAGCAGCAGGAGGGAGGGGGAAGAAGCTAGTGGGTTTGATAGAGTACAATACAGTCAAAACAGCACAATACCGAGCACAGTTATATAAGAGCACTATGTCAGATGCATTAAGCTTTTCTCTTGTCACTACCTAACCTCAGGCTAACTCAGATGGATGCCATTCATACAGTATTTAGCTTAGGGATCCCTATAGCAACCATCACCATAGTATCTTACGGGCATCACAGGTCAGTTAGATAGTGGGCTGAGATGGATGGAGTCTTCTTTCCTTTTCCTTTATCTGGTTAGAGTTAGTTTGGCTCTGGCATAATTTTTAAATATCACTCCAGTGGGAATGATTTATCAAGGCATGCACTGCAGACTCTGGCTGTAACATAAGGGCCAGAAGGACAATATGTTGTAATAAAATCAATGTAAGGGTATGGACTGTATTGCTTCCAGCAGGGCCTGAGAAGATACAGACAACAATTGCACTTGAAGTTACTAAAGTGATTGGAAGCGCTAAGTCAGTCTCCAAAGGGAGTACATTGCCGGACATTACACTGACAATGACTGAATGTAACTGGTAGTTAGGGGAAGTTCGTAAGGACTGTTCAACTTTAGTCACCACAAGAACTGAGCTGCAGCTTTAGGACCACCCTTCTCATCGACATAACAGTGTATGACAAACTAAGTACATTTCTGGGTCCAAACTCTTTGTGGTAATGGACCCTACAACTACTTTGTCTGCCCTAGGCTTTTGGGGAATGCAGGTGAAATAGTTGAATTCCTAAAATGACATTTCCCCACCTGAGAGCTCTTTCTAGTCTTTGGGAAAATAGAGCAGGAAAACTGAAAGTCCACACAGTTTCCACTTACCTGATCTGAATCATTGACTGTAATCTTCAATCCCCTCAGGATTTCACCCTCTGGGGGATGCTCGTACATGGTCAGTTCAAATCTGTTCTGGGGACCATTTTCTCCATAGAACGTTGGTGGATGGTTGTTGAGGTCAACCACCCGTATAGTCACCATGGCAAAAGCGAACACTGAGACGTCACCTTCCTGACTGACTTCTGATGCCTGCAGCAGGCAGGAGAGAGAGAAGAATGATGAGGGTATACTCTCTTTCCTCAGTTCTATGTTCAGGTCTTGTTCTGCATGTACAAATCACCCTAACACACTAACTTGTACAAAGATTCACAGCCTTATATTTCTCTAGAAACCTCAGTCCATTTCACACTGAAGTTTATGATGATTAGAAGATTATGGTAATAAACCAGTCCCAATAAAGCCCCAGTGAAAAAATTCTCCTCCTCATTTTGTGAGCTTAGCACCTCACCCTAGGTGAAAACAGTTCTTTAAAGACAGATAATCTAATAGAGGCAGGATAATTGCTTGCCTAAAGTGTTGACAGAATAGAAAAGGAAGACAAGCTTTAAATTTGCTGTGGTACCACAGGTAGTTGATTTTCACATTGCATGCAAGGACTGCAGGCTTGAAAACTCTGCAAGAAAAACTGTACTTATGGTATTTAGGCAAATATTTGAAAAAGAAAAATGACACACTTTTTTTTTGAGATTTTGTCTCTGATTTACAATTCTGCTTTGCTGTCTAGATGAGCTTAATTTAAGCTGGATATAGTTTGGACAGACAAGCAAACGTAGTTGGCATTTTTCTGAACTGAAAGATTAAATCTGTCTGGGTTTCAACAATTCCAACATGCAGCCTGATGCACTGGATTGAACCTAAGACGTTTCTTCTGTCAGGACAGAAACTCCAGCTGGTGTTTTTGTAACAAAACAGCTATCTCTAACATGCTTTTTTGCTCAAAGGGCTCAAAACCAAAGGCACTAGACTGCTAAATTTCTCTGAAGATGCTAGTCTGGTAACTGAGGTGTGCTGTCACTACCTATGCTGGGTAGTACAACACCCTTTTGGTTCCTCAGGCAGATTTTGTAGCCTGCACGAGCTCTGGGTCACCACAGATATAACTAGGAGATCAGAAAAGCTTGCAAGGGCTTAACTAATCCTGTATCTGGGAAGCGCTAGCAGACTGCAGTAAACCAGAGAGATTAGGGGAAGAAATGGTGCCTGAGTTTAACTCGTACAGCTGGAACTCTATGATCTCCCAGGTTCAGCAAGCTGCTTGAGCCCACTAGCAAGCAAGTGCCCTTGGGGATGCCACACTGGTTCTGCAGTGTGCAAGGCCTCCAAGCTGCCTTTAGACAATATTGACCTTACCATGACAAACTCTCGTGGTTGTAATATACATTTGTTTGAAGAAAACTGATACAGTCTTCACAATTTAACTCTACATTTTTATACTCTTGGTCTTTAGAAACTGCTTAAAATAATGCAGCCTGTCACACTGATACTAGCTCATCAAGGTGTTAGCATGTATTTGTATGTGGCTGATCAATGCTTCAGGAGTGGACACTGATATGACATTGCAAGATCTACTCCAGTCCTATTACTAATCATAGATTTGACAGTTACCTATCTCATCACATAGAGGTTACAAGACATTAACTCCTAGTTTAACAATAAAATCTGAAAACACAGAGAACAGTTATTTACATATTGTAAAGGATGTTGTTTCTCTAGACTCAGAGATAAAATTAGGACAAGATGACTTCATTTGAAAGAAGTAATTTGAGTCACTAAATATTCCAAGGAACAAAAGCAGTTTGTTCTCTTTTATACTATCTGGCACTCTGCGCAAATATAGGAGGTAGTTTCTAAAACAGGTGAAGTCAGCTATAAATTGAGCTATTTCAGACAATCATGCCAATCATGGCATTTAAGACCAGAAGTCTTCAAGTGGCCACAGAACATACCTGAACTTTTAGTTCATACACTTCTTTCTTGAGCTGATTTGGACTTTTTGTAACAGAAATGGCTCCAGTTGTGTTGCTGATTTCAAATGAACCTTCACTTCCTGCAATAAATCCAAGATGCTCTAGTTACATGCCACACTTCCTTTTTCTGAACAAGCATGAGCAATCAACCATACACTTCATTAAGCATATCTTTGTCCATATGTGTATCCACATCTATGAGTAGATGTGAAGCCGCTTTTCAAAAATGAAGCATTTCCATGCCTGGTCACAGTGAGATGAAAACACAGATGAGGGCCAAAAAGGGTTTCCTCCCCTAGGAACAACTCAGTGGAGCTCTGCCCCTATAGGCAGCTGCCCTGACTTTCCTCTTCCCACCCTGGTCAGGTTCCCTTCAAGCCTCAGCAACCAGGCATGCAAATTTGGTATTCATTTCTATTATGCTGTCTTCTTTATATGCTGGTTTAGACAAAAATAGACATTCCTTATTTTAATTATGCATAATTAAGTCTCTGAGAAACAAGAACATTTCTCTCACTAATATCAACTAAGGTGAGAAGTCTGACAATCTGTCTGAAACAGACATAGTCACTCTTTCTGCAGACAGCATCTCTGGAGAAGCATCTTCTTGCCTTAGACATTTAGTTGCCTCTTGCAAGGCTGTCCTGAACAAAAAGAGATTTTGCAGGATCTGGGGTAAAACCCAGGCTTTTTTCATTGAGGCAGAGTCTGACACAGGCAGGACAGGGCTGCAGGCTGACTTTGCCACCCCTGACCTAACTTCCACTGATCTGAGCAGAAGATCAGTTACAGGGCTGCGATCCCTTGAGACCTGGTGAACTTGTGCTGAAGCAAATGCCAGCTTGTAGAGAGGCAGCGGTGTCTCATCACATCTGGGCCATCACTGACGGGGCCAAAAGCAGGCTGGTGCCTGGGGAGGGGACCAGACGGCGGCTCAGGGGGCCCTGCCCTGCTCTGCCAAGGGGCTATGGGCACCCCTGCATGCTACCTCACACGTGGTATTGGCCACAATCTATGCTTTCTGGCAGAGCCTACCATTGAAAGGAAAAGAGAGGAAACCCCTTACAATGAAGGAGATCAAGCCTTCAGAAATAAAGGATAATGACCTGAAAGCCCAGTCATTTTTCTTTTGCTCTGACTCAATTCCAGTGCTGATTTTTAAACCATCTGATAAAGTTCCATTTTGCTAATACCTGCAATAACTGCAACTTCATTAAAGTACACTAGACACAACATTGAATAGATAGCAACTCATACGATGGTCAATTATTAAGATACATTAGCCTGGAAAGTGCATCCTGACTGAGAAGAAGTTTAAGTCAATAATGGTTTAAAGCCACCATACTTCATGTTATTGTCTAGTTATCACAGAGGAATTGGTAACTCAGAGTATGTAGCATTATGTGTATTCCTTCATACAGCACTTTAGAGGATTGGAGTATTTTCTAAAATTATCCCACACTCCCTGGATAAAAAATTCTTATAAAGAATAAATATTTTCCTATTTGCTGTTAGTATTTTCTTGCCCCTTGACAACTCAGCCTGCAGGTATTGGAATAATGGCTTGTTATGAGTAATGCCAGGGTCTGAGGTGCAGGGGTAGAAACCTGCTGTAATCTTTTGTTCTCTATCTATTTCTTAAACTTTCTATGCACTAGAAGCATATTCCCTTCCCCTCTTTTCCATTTCACGCTAACAAAATCCCGTGTTAATGTGCATGAGGAAAGCGTGCTTCCCATTAAGTCATATTTTATGCTACTTATCTGTCATCCCCGTCCATCTTCATTTTCCACTAAAATACCTTTTTTATTCCATAGCACCTTTTTGGTCCTCCTTTATTTTCTTTAGAAATCTAGTATCTTTCCTCATTAATCCTATTTCCCTTTGACATTTTCCCTGGTTCATCCGCCTTTGCTTATTCTCCTTAATCAATGTCTCCCTTGTCTAGCATATTTTCATCCCACTTATTTGTTTTTACTCCTCATTCTCCACCTTTCTTTTTACCTTTTCTCATTTTCCATCTATTCTCTTCTGCAATCTTTTTTTTCCTCAATGTTTCTACTTTTCATTTACCCTTTTCTATCTATTTCCTTGCATTGAGGAGAAGGAACCTCAGCATGGGTCCCACCCCACATCAAGGCAAAACCTCAATTGCAACCCTCTCTGTCCTCTCTAGACCTTGCTGTTTAGATCATGTAACACAATGAAGAACTTACTGCATAGCTCTGCAACTACACCTTGGATTTGTCGTATGAAATTTTGGGATCTCTCACACCCGGGAGTTGGGGTGCCCAGTTGCCATGGAAGCCTTGTTTTGGAGGAAGAGATAACCAAACAAAACTAAAGTTGTAGCTTGGAGTTTAGTTGAGCTAAGTTGTTGACTTACCGGCTAATGAATCATCAATTCAGCTAAGTCTCACATTTATGCTAATAAAAGATGTGCGACAGACACCCTCAGAATAGCTGATGAAAAGCATTAATCTTCTGATAACATCTACTTTCTTTCAGTGCAGTGTACAGACAGTGTCTCTTCACTGGTCAATATGATTTCTTCCAAGAAACCAGAGGTTTGACCGTTTAGCCACTTTAATCACAATATTAATAAAAATATCCCTCTAAATACCATGTCTGGGTCTCCCGATGCATTCTCTCACCTCCCAGATTAAATGATAGAGATGCTCAGTAGCAATGAATGCATCTCCCTTTACGCTTTCTGAAATGACAAGCAGGCTACTGATGCCTAACAAATCAGCAAGATTAACAACTCCAAGAGTAGTTCTGTGAAGCAGATACTAAAACTCAGTGAATTGTATCTTGGCTATTCTCTGGTAGACAGGGCCCTGGAGTTGTTCGAGGTACCTGACATTATTTCATGAGAGCTCGTCTCAGTTTTGCTAAACTCTAGCCTATCCCATTCTAATTTAATGTCAGATCTAGTTTCGACTGCCCTTCAGATTTCCTACAAGACAAGTCTACTCACCGTTCACGATGCAGTAATGAATACTGTTAGGCTTTCCTCTGTCTCCATCAAGAGCAACAACAGTAAGGACCTCAGAGCCCTGGGAAGAAATGGGAAATCACAGTCTGTGTGCTGAGATCAAAGAGCAGTGAAATTGCAACTGTGTATTAATAAACTGAACTTCTGTAAGTCTTTCTGCAGTGAGGTGTAGGGGGAAGAGTGGGTACTTTTGCTTGTGCTGTATGGGGAACATAGAAAGGGCCATTGACTCCCAGCCAGAAAAAATCAGAGCTCGGCTTTGCAGAGCAGGAGCTGGATGCTACTCCTTGGACCAAGTCTGTGTTGTTCCTAGATCAAAAGTTATAGTTGTTCCCAGGTACCTCGCAGCCCATGCACTGTACTTCCATACAAAGTGGGGACACCCCTGCTGCTGCTCACTCCCTACGGAGCCGCTGCAACGACCTGCCCTCGCCAGCTGGCTGCCAGCGCCATGCCACTGCCTGCACCGACGGCAGAGCAACTGCTTTCGTGCGTGGGCCTCAGCTGCCCCAGGAGGGCCAGGGCTTGCTGCAGCCTCGGGGCATGCCATGAGCCTGCCAAGAAACCGGTGCCGGTTTGCCCAGCACCCTGCCCTCTTGTCCTTTTTTCCAACTCAGCTTTGGGTGAGGACCAGCAGGAACATGCGCTGCTCCCCACGGGCTGCTCTCTGCCCACTGCCGTGGCAGTGCCGACAGCACGGGTATGAAACGGCTGCAGACCTCGTGTGGCTATGGGTGCCTCAGCCCAGGGGCTGGCCGGCCGCAGGAGCAATCGGAAGCTGTGCCCAGGGACACCTACCTCGGGCCACAGACTTGGACAGAGGATTTGGAGTAACCAATCTGAGACCCGAGGTTCAGTTTGGGTCACCACCAAGATGCCCTCTCTGGTAGCTGCTGTGTAGGCTCCCGGCGTCACTGCGTGCCCCATGGCCACACAGCGTGCTGAGACACAGGCAGCTGCTGAGGAGTCATCAGGTCATTTTGGTCCTACCTAATTAAGTTCAGACAGGCAGCAAAAGCAAACAGGGGATCACAAAGCAGCTTGGCCCACAGAACATTCAGGGCATAAAATTGTGATGAAAATTATGGTGATTTAACTGTCCTTAAACCTTCACTGTCTTTCTTTCTGCGCAAGTAACGTGGCCGTGGGCCATATGTACGGAACTTGTGTACTGGAGACCATTTGCTCGTGTGACTGCTCCTATCAACCCAGAGGGATGATGACTGTCAGCATTAAAATGCTCACCCAAGTGGCAATCAGCTATGCAATTTAGGCCTCTGAACTAAAGTGTTACTTTTTGGGGCTGCAAAAACAGGCAACACTGAAGTAACTGTCAGTTAATCATAAATGGCAACAAGGAACATTTTCATGACAACCCTCGAGTGAATTTTTCAAACAGGAGCAAGATTCTGTTAGAGCCACTGGAAATACTAACTGTATTTATTATCATTTGTGCTGGAAGCTGCAATAAAATCTGCCTACTGGGCAAAATGCAGTGCAGTCCCTTTGAAGGTGACAGAGTACTTGTAAATCCTGGCAACTCCACCAAGGAGAAAAGAAGCAAGTTTACAAAATTAACACCAAATGTGTAAACAACACTAAAATCAGCTAGTGCGTCTCTCTCTGTGGAGTTCATTCTAATAGCAAAACCCACACTGGGAAGGACTGATTCGTGCTTCCATCATTATAATATCATAATGGTGTAAGTTATGAGCTCAGGCTGGATGTAATTAACATTTATTGACTCCCATTTCCATGGTAAACACTAACTCCTGTGTGCACCTGATAGTTATTTCAAGATCTATATCTAACTATGCAGAATAAATCAATATACATAATATCATTCATTCCAAACATCTGCAAAGTACACAGGCATTACTGCTCTGCCCTGCTGAAATGTAACAGCCTATGCACTGAACTGCAATATGAGTCATGCAAGGGCTGCGGTGTACACTGGAGTTCTGAACAGAAAGTAAAGACACAACCTTTCCTGAAACTCAAGTGAAGATCAGGTGGAGAGTGTGCAATCACACTGCCAAAGAGATCAATAGTCTAATGTTGGGTAACTTCATGAGTAGATACCGTTTCTCGTCCTATGTATGAAGAAAATTTTAATTTAATCTTATGTATCAGGGTGAAAGCTGATCCATACACAATATCATGCCACTGCTTAGATATAGAGAAAATCAACTAGTTTGCAGCTTCAAGAACAATATGTGGCTGAAAGCATCATGGTGGATATAATAAACTAATTTGCTAAGCTGTATACTCCCTTTTAAGCAGATCTGCCATTGGGCATTTCTGACGTGATGGCACAGCCAGGAGCTCGGTGTACTCCTTGGATTCTGTGTCCGTGGTAGATACAAAGTGGTATCTTCAGCAGCAGACACATGCCGACAAATGCAGCGTCCCCACTTGTAAGTGGTTCTCCTAAGTATGTCCTTGCTTGCATGATAATCTGGTGGGTTTTAGGCCTGGGAGGACTCCCTGGCCCATTCTGCCTATCTAGCCATCACTGAGCAGAAAGTATCCTGCAGTTTGGGGATGTCAGGATTGATTCTCCCCAGGTGATGTCCATGGGACAGCACAAAGAGTCTAGAGCATTTGGGCATAAATTCACCCCATGCTTTGCACAACCAGCTGCTGGTACCAGACTGATCTGCTAGAAAATAAAAGCACCATGAGACCACACAGCACACAAACACACAAAGGCTTCTAGCATGGTGTGTTCAAGTGAGGTGACTGGCAACCTGCTTAAGCCTTCAGCCAAGTGCCTCTGCAGGTCTCAGCTAAGGAAGAGCTCTTAGTCACTGTCTGGGCTTAGACCAACATAAATGGGCAGAATCCTTTTTGACTTTAACAACAGCAACAGGAAGCCTTGCATGGCAAATTTGCAATGGATGTAAATAAGAACAAGTCTAAGATTTGGTCAGCTCATTTCACTTAGGAGTCTGTGCTGGTTTTGGCTGGGATAGAGTTAATTTTCTAGTAGCTGGCATGGGGCTATGTTTTGGATTTGTGCTGAAAACAGTGTTAATAACACAGGGATGTCTTAGCTACTGCTGAGCAGTGCTTACACAGAGTCAAGGCCTTTTCTGCTCCTCACCCCACCCCACCAGCGAGGAGGCTGGGGGTGCACAAGAAGTTGGGAGGGGACACAGCTGGGACAGCTGACCCTAACTGACCAAAGGGGTATTCCATACCATATGACATCATGCTCAGCACATAAAGGTGGGGGAAGAAAAAGGAAGGGGGGGACGTTTGGAGTGATGATGTTTGTCTTCCCAAGTAACCGTTACACATGATGGAGCCCTGCTTTCCTGGAGATGGCTGAACACCTGCCTGCCAATGGGAAGCGGTGAATGAATTCCTTGTTCTGCTTTGCTTGCGTGCATGGCTTTTGCTTTACCTGTTAAACTGTCTTTATCTCAGCCCACAAGTTTTCTCACTTTTACCCTTCCAATTCTCTCCCCCATCCCACCGGGGGGAGCGGGGAGTGAGTGAGCAGCTGTGTGGTGCTCAGTTGCCAGCTGGGGTTAAACCACAACAGAGTCAAATCAGAGTTTAGGTCCTAGTTTCCAATAAAGCCTGTGCTAGAAACCATAAGGCCATCTTGACTGAGATGTGAAAGACTGCGCTTGTTCTCCTACAGGCAAAACCCAGCACTTACGGCGAGTGTATCCTCATAGACATATCCATAGTAGGGAGTCCCGATGAACATGGGAGGAGTGTCCTGAACATCCTCCACATTGACAGTAACTGTTGTTGTGGCTGAAAACACTTTGTTGTCTCCCCTGAGCTTCCCACCACCATCCTAGAAGAGAAGTCATCATCAGATCCCTCTGCTGAAACACGTCTGCAAATCAGCTTATGGCATTGCATGCACCTCATGAGCCTTCAGAAGCACAGTCCCAGGAATCCCTTCTCTCTCTCAACACACAGATTAATCTCTGCTGCCCTATTCCCTTCTCTTTTCTATTTGTCCTGCTCCCTCTCTGATTAGGAAGACAGCTTGCCGTGTCTCAGAAGTAATTTTTTATATTAAAAGTGGTTGTGCCAATATATGCAGTCATACGTGATCTTTTATCAACAATTCAAGTTTTTTGCAGGAAAATAGAATGCTAGAAACAGATGCAAAAAGTCAGTGACTAAGTCTACAGCTTTTCGTCCCACATATAGTCTTGTCATAAACACAAGACAATGCAGTAGCAAGGTAGTGCCTTTCCAGGGGGAAATTAAACAGTGCACATGATCAAAGTCTCCTAGGGACTCTTATGTGATAAAGTGAAAGCATGGAGGAGCTATGCAGCCAAGAACTGTTAGATAGCCAGTGTATAAACAGTGTCTGGGGACTTGACTACAATCAACTCTGTGCTACTGATACAGCAGAGCCAATTAGAAAGATGACTCACAATTTCAGAAGCTTTTAACACCTTCAGTCTCAGAGCACCGGCTGGAGGTCAGTGATCATGCTGGCGTATGAGAGTGTGAATGTCTGCTGTACTAATTCTAAAAATTCCATTTTTTGGAAAAGATATGCTCTTTTTTTTCCTCCTTACTGCCCGAAAGGCAGGATTTAAGCCAAATTTTGTTACTTCTCCTCGAATGAACTCTGGCTAAATAAATACTTAGAAAGATCCGCACGTTTTCCATAAAACATGAGAAACTGAAAGTCACCATCAGTAGCAGCAAAATCATCCTCTTTGCACCCATGCGAGTCTGTCTGTGTGACAGGTCCCCACAGGATCCTGAGAGACTTTACTTCAGAATCCATAAGCTTTTAATACCTGTTATGAATCCTCAGCCTGCCACAGGCGCAGCACTGCTGAGAATGGCAGTGGCGAGAGGGGATGTGCAGCAATATTTGCAGGATTTGAACAAGCTCCTGCCACAAGGCAGCAGAGAAGTGAAAGAAAGAAACATCCCGAGATATTTCCAGAAAAGAAGTCCGCACTTGCGCTGCACTGGGTCCAGCTGTGCCTGTGTCTTACTGTGGCTAACGACTGCGACCCGCACTGCCTGCCTGCCGGGGCTTTGCCCTTGTTGCGGTAGGGCCGTGCCCCGGGCAGCACGTGGGAGCCCTGGGCACCTGCATTTGCCCAAAGGCTGATGCTTCTTGAAGCTGGGGCTGCGTGCACCAACCCTTCACTTCCAGGTGACTCTCAAAATGCACAGGTGACTTTCTGCAGTGGGGCTCGCTATCCTGGCACTGAGCGAAATGTGGGAAACCCACTCCCAAACGCCTCCAGATGTTGTTCAGCAGCAGACACCGGTCCCCTTTCCTCCCTCACTTTTCCATGTTACCCCCTCAGAGCTCCAGATGTTACAGAGGGAGTGACTCTGCTGCCTCAATGCTATGCTTCATGTTTCGGCAACCCTTGAATCACACTTGTATTCAAACTAATCAGTCCTACTCAAATACACCCCCCCATCTCCTCTAGTTTCAGATAAAAGCTTTATACCTTGGCTACAACGACAACAAAATGTGTTCTTGATTTCTCATAGTCCAACGTGACCCCTGTTTTGATGCGTAGGACACCACTGTGACGATCTATTGTAAACTTATTAGCATGGATGTTCTAGAAGAAAAGAAAAGAAGAAACAGCAAGAGATTACAAGTATGGAAATAAGATTGCTGTAGGGATTCATCTTTTATTTCATCTGCTAAGGGAAAAGACTAGAATAATGATACGGTTTGGGTGAATAATATATTTGATGAATTTCACCTCTGTGTGTTTATGAACAATTCATGAACCAACCACGAGTCTTTCATTATTCAGAATAAATCAGTTACCTGCAACGTAGATTTTTTTAATCTTTTAGTATTTCATTGTGAAATCTTAAACTTTGGTTAACACAGTTCATTGCATGGAAAGGGGTAGGGAGGCTTAACGGAAAAAAAGATGAGGGGAGAAGGAAGAAGAAAAAAGGTGTTATCCCTTAGTGTTTCAAAGTTCTACTGGCTTAAAAAAAAGCAGGAAGTTTGCATGCATAGATTATTGTCAACAGAGTGGTGTTTTGGTGATTTTTTTTTTTGCAATATACAAATAATACCTAAAAGACATGTGATTTCTGAAAAGGCCTAAAAAATGTCTCCCTCCATTCTTCTGGACTGGAGATATCTATAAACACACTTCCATTTGGGTATCCATACACAATGGTCACTGTCAGATAATCTTGGCCTTTTCAGCAGACTTCACCATCTGCCCACATCAGACTTTCGGAGAGGTTTTTTTCTGTGCTACTTGAGGATTCCCAAAGATTGTGCCAAAAGACGCGGCAACATTTTTTCAACAAATATATGTATTTAGTAACTTTTGCAACACAAATATATCAACTAGATATCTAAGTTTGAAATTGCTGTTCCTTGGCTTCATAGTCTATTAGCTTACTGGAAAAAGCCCTGTGCAAAATTGAATCCTGCACATACTATATTTTAAATGGATCATAATTGGTGAAATCAAAACTAAATTTCAACAAGGCACTCAAGGTGTTCTTTCACAGTATGCCCAAGCTCTTAACAGGATTAGCTTTAGTGCTACGTAAATATCTTCCAACTTGTTTCCATATTTGTATCCAAAGTAAGTATTGCAACAAATTGGTTTTGTTTTTTTTTCTGTTGACTCTTGAATAAAGGGAATGGCAGCTCATCTGGACAAAGCTGCTTGTAGGAAGAAGAAATTTGAAGGATATAATGCAAAAAATTGCCCTTTTGGCATGCAGAAGGTCTGTAATACAGAAATTCAGCTTTAAATACAGAGCCCTTTCTGTTCTTCTCCAGTGGGCAATACCTGAAAGGCTGGTTTCAGGCAGGCACGGCTTCGTCAGTGAGAAGACTTAGTACCTCGTATTTCACACTTGTGATCCAGGTCCTAATTATGCACCAGTCTGCTACACCGAAGTCCACATTTGGGTTTCCAGTGCATTTTTGCTTTCTAAAGAAAGCTATTTCATGCTTTAGAAATCCCATATGGATACAAGATTACAAATTAGACTCGCTCTCCCCGTCAGTCCAAAAGAAAGGGCCAGTAAGAGCCCTGCTGCGAGGAGTCCTGCTGGCAAGCGTAAGAGTGACAGTGGAAACTCCAGCTCCTACTTCTGCCTGCTGGACTGCGCTTGGCTGCTCACAATCAGACAATGTCCATTTTGCTAATGCTTGTTTTCTCACGCACAGTACAAAATTGGTCCTATAGACATTAGTAGTGGGCTCAACCCTCAAAATCTTTTTTTGACCTGATTTCTGAGATCTCAGTAAATAAGAGAGAATTTTTTAAGGTACCTTACCTGCAAGAAGTACGTGATACTTCCTCCAGAACCCGTGTCTTTGTCCACTGCCTCTATCTTAAAGATACTGCTGCTGGAGGGAGCGTTCTGTGACCAGAAAGAGTGACCAGAGTCACACAGAAGTGGAAAACCAGGTGAGTTAGAAGAAACGAAAAATGAGCATGCAAGGAGGCAGAAAAAGAGGGTGATGCTAGAAAGAATATAAATGCATGGAGGGAACCAAAGAGCAGAACGAAAAGAGGGAAGAGATTAAAAATGGAGGAAACTGGAGAAGAATAAGAAGGAAGAAAAGCTTTTTGGAATAACAATGACAAGAAATCTCAGCTAAGACAGAGCACATCCTGTTCCCAGGAGTCAATTCCGAAGTCAATTCTAAAAACTCTCAATGACTCACATCTTGGAGCTTACCCACAAAATAGCACACCTTAAGTACCTACAGACTTATTCCCTAAGTTTGCAGTGAATATTAAATATCTACCCAAACCCTAAAAGCAAAAGAATGCAAGTTAGTCCTGCACATCTTGTTATTTTACTGAAAACATACTAGCTCCTCTTTACATCTACTGAAATATACTTGCAGTATGCAAAGGAACTTCACCAACCTCTGGGACTTGGACTATGTAAGGTGTATTGATGAACTCCGGGCTCTCATCATTAGCATCCATTACAAGGATCCTGACTTTTTCAGAAACCTGGAGTAGAGTATGAAGAACGTATTATGACTCAAGCTGATTTTCAACATGTACCTGTTCATTTGCCTACTAAGGTGTAGTCAAAGGCAACGAAAAATTATGTTGTAATAGAATATCTTTGCACTACCAAAACTGAGCACATAAAAGAAAATACAGGAAACCCCATAATCCAGAAGAATTTGCTTTGTGGAGAACACCCAGATATCTCCAAACTAAATAAGGAGTCTCGGAGTACTTTATAAATTACAGACTGGGGCTGATTTTCAAAAGTCTTTCTTCTTCTTTATGGCATTCAAGATATCATGATGTATTTTATGAGAATACATAAAAGTCTGTAAAAGTTGGTACCTGACAGCCAAGAGCATTCAGGAATATGATACTAGGTTAATAGCATGCATAATTTGGATGTACAAATACACACTACTAATATGTAATAATCCATCTTGAATAAAATGTGTGTTCTCCTTCTAAAAATACAGAAGCAAACATATTTGACCAACAAAAATTCCCAGTTGTTTGCAAGTGGACATGTGGATGTGATCCCATCATCCCATCACATTAGGCTTTGACTATAGGATGCTGGCACCTCCCAAACATTTGTTGTAATATCAGTTAATTTGTTTGAGATGAGGAAGAGCTCTAGAGTTATGTGGATAGTAAGAGGGTCCCACTTTTGTGGCACCTCTATTGATGAAGCCCAGGTCCTCTTATTGGCAGACTAATATCCTAGCTGTGACAGCATCTGTCCATAAACTGAAAATGCAAGGAAATTTGTAGAACTAGGATTGGATGCTTCTGCAATGCCTCAGATTAAGTCCTTAACGATTAGATGTGATCAAAGCTTTATTCAGCAGCAGACAAGAAAACCCCCACCACCTTAGCCTAAGCAAATCTTCTTAATGTCATGCTAGAGAAACACTGTGGGGGTGGAGGTACAGTCAGCTCTTGGGTGTCCAACACTACTTCCTATAATGTCACGCATTTCTCCAAAAAGCCTCCAGATCTTTCTCAGGTATGAATCCTACTGAGCTGACAGTGAAACCTCATAGGAAGCTGCTACAATTCTGCAGGCCACTAAGTCAGTCTTTCAGCTCACACTACATTGTAATTATCTTCAAATAGCTGAGCAATGAGCTGAAGTGAGACTTGAGTTACTGGGAGTTCAGTGACTCTTGAAACAGGAGGCAAGACTCTAATGAGATTATATTTTCTGATAAAATGGGATAGTTCCTATAAGGTAATTTAATAGGAGGAGGTATGTGGGGACAGACAGTTTGTCAAGCTACAGCATAATTAAATACTTACTGTACTCAGGCCATCTGAAATACTGACAACTACTTCAATCTCATCTTCCTTCTGTAAACCAAGAAAATTCCTTTGTTAGAGAGATGGTGTTTGCCCTGACTGGAAAAGGTACTGCAGATTTAAATGTGTCTCAGCAGGTAGGTGAAAGTAACAACTAATACCACAAAGCAAACACAGCGGAGGCTAGGAAGACCCCTCAGAGGCTCCAGCTGCGGGGCTCCTTGGACTTTCTGTGGCTACTGCCAAGAGATGGTTGGTCTGGGAATCCCTGTTGTCCTGTAAAGTGCTAGTGAAAATCAGTCATCTTTTTCAAGAAACACTCCCTAAAAAGGCACGATTGGTTCAAAATTCTTCTGTCTTTGAAGGGTTTACTAAGTACTGTGTACCCTTCCCTGCGAAGGAGACATGAAGGGTTCAATGCCTGTGTTCCCAGAATAAGGCTGCCTTCAGGCCACTATTGCTGGGAACATCTTTAACCCATATGGTTACACATGGGCTAAAGGGCTATGATGTAACGAGGGAAGTGTCCTGGAACACTGCTTACACAAATCTCTACTTCCTCCTAACGACAGGAGAGTCCCCTGTTTGAGGATTAGAGGACTGCAACTGCCCTGAAGCTCTTGATGGGTTGCAGGTGGGGAAAGATAGGAATAAAGAGTAAACTTCTCTTTTGGCAAAAGCTGGACAGGCAGCTGCCGAAAAATTTGATAGCAGTGTCAGTGGCAAGTCAACTGGAAAACGGGATGGGTGAAGTATAATGTCTCAGAATAGCAAAGTATATTACATGTTTCAGGGGCAAATAAGTTGGCATTGTCCCTCAAAGCCACAGATCAAATTAAACTGAAGGAAATTCCATGAACACACGGAGTGGTGCCATTTCAGTGTACCTCTCTGTCAAGCTCCTCGATCAGTGTAACATTTCCAAGGTTCTTGTCAACAGAAAAGTAGCGTCTTGATCCAGCTTCATAAGTCAGGCCATACGTCACAGGATCTCCTTCCGGATCAGTTCCATTCAGCGTGTACACATGGGTACCTGAAAAATTGGCATTCAGCAACATTTTCCTGTGGTTAATTCAGTCAGTGAATGTTTCACTGGTCTGCTCCTTAGAAACTTAGCTCCCCTGCAGCAGGCAAAGCTTTTGTGAATCAAACTCACTTACTGGGAAATACGGATAAGTAGACAGTTCAATAGTCCTGATTGCCACTTTTTAGCCTCCTGGTTAAACCGAGTTTATCAGCGCTGGTTTCTCTCACTTCAGGCCCTTTCCTGTGGAACCACACCTAGACAACACCGCTCACATCATAGTGTCACATAGATGACAAGCTGTTGACCAGCTCTCAGCCCAGGTGAGTCAGAAGCGATGCTGTTGTACGACTAGGTGACAACCTCAGCAGTACTAAAAGGCTCTCGCACACCTCTGCTTTATGGGAACAATGAAATCGCAAATTAGCAGGCAGAGGATGCGGCGACTGAAGGCAGCGCTCCCACAGGACTGGACTCGGGCTCTGAAGCTCAGGAGGTGCAAGGACATTTGCAGACTTTTCCACTTTCAGAACTAATAGATGCAGAATTCTTCTTTCCTACTTCGCTCCCCCTCATTAGCTCCCTTTCATTAAATTCTCTACTTAACACACCCACTCATGCTCATACCAATGAATAAATTCTCTAAACTCATCAATGTATTCCTTTCACAAGCTGGGGAAAGAGAGATTGTTATTTCTATTTTTAAACAGTTGAGAAGTTGGTGCCAGTTTTTCCAGTAAACTGACTTTGTTTATCAGACATGATACTTCCTGGGGGAGTTATAACACCCACGTTTTCAAAACATGGTGAGGGTTTATTAGTATTTTTTTTTTTTTAACTTACATATCTGTCATTCTACTGTGCATTAATATCTTCATCCAAATAACTTCAAGCACTTTACAAATATCAGTTAACTGAGCCTGAAATATAAAACACTGTTGTTGTTTCCTTCGAATCCGCTGTGCCCTGAGTAAGTCTCCTGAGATATCCAAGTTGCAGAAGTTTGGAACAGAAACTCTGCTTTACATCTAACAAAGTTCTCTGCACTGGAAATACTGTAGCCAAGCAACTCACGGGTTAGCAGTGAGTTTTGCTTGTGCATGGGACACAAAGATATGATGGAAGGGTCCCTGCTAAGAAAGTTAGCATAAAGTTAAGGAGCAACACTGTTAAAGGGAACTCAGAAGACTCCAGTTTTAAACTACTCTGGCCCTGAGTTTGAGAGATTTTTAATTCTGTACTCAAAAGTCGTAATCTTTTTCTATCCTCTCTGCAGTGATAGTGGAGTTTTCACTGACCAGATCCATAAGCTTCTGTTTAACTCTAGAGCTTTGGTTGAGGTCCTGCCCATAGCACCGACAGGTCAGCTTGTCAGATGTTTCCTCAGTTTGCAATGCAACCTTTCACTCCTCATTTGTTTATTCCTTGGCACACAAAACGCGAACCAAACAGATCAGTGGGCTTAATGGACATGCAATGTCCAGGCATCAGTGGTGATACTTAGAAAACATGTCTGTCTTCTTTGCATAGCAAAAGATTATGCCAAGCCATGTGGGATCTGTGCTCACTTATGAATAAATTCTTTTATCATAATTACCAGGGCAATATCAGGGCAACTTTGTACAGAAAAATGTTCACATTGCAAAAACCAATGGGCCTACAGGAGCACAAACAGCAGACCCTGTTACGGGCTGGCTCAGCCAGCCAAAAAATAGTCAAGATTTGTAAAACAGGTTCACAAAATTACAAAACACCTTCCACATTTTTCTTGGACTTTTCCCACAAAACAGAGTAGAAAATAACAACACATCTGTTACTGAGATCCCCAAAAATTATTAGGGAAAAATGATGAGACACTTCTCTGATTCTAACAATTGAACTGTGTAAGTACAAAGAAATGCAAGGAGAGGAATAAACTGGGGCTGATGTAAAATAGTGTCCTGAAAGGGCACCTGCCTCCTGATATAGCTGTTTACGTAAGAGACAGAAATTTCAAGACTGTCGAAGGTTGTGCAGTATCAGCACTGACTGCATTTATTCTTGTTTTTCGAAAGCTTTGTCTTAATACCACAGCTAGGGCCAAATCCAAATAGAGAATTCAGGTGTCAATTGTCAGCACTTCACTGACATCATTATCAATACAGTGCTTTTCTTCAGCCTTTTTTGGTCATTAGAAGTTTTTACTTCTTAGTTGCTTTTCCATCCTCCTTCTTCACTTTTGCTGTCCCTTCCACTTTACATATCACTGGCTGTCCTGCCTGTTTCTAGCATGTGTGGGCGTCTGCAGCAGCTGCTGAGCGGCGCTGCCTGCGCAGCAGAGAAACAGGATGGACAACACAACCCACATCTGGGGTCTCTCAGAGCCTGCGGAAAACAACTAGGGCTAGGGCTGTGGCTGGGGCTGCCCTGAACTACCAACCCTGGTAGTACACGAACTGCAAACCACTCCTCAGGGATCGCAGGGCTCGTGCTAGAGAAGAATAGACTGTGAAAGTTCAGGCGAATACATTTGAACCTGGGCTTTTTCTTCCAATCTCACAATTTTCTCTCCTACATTTCCTAGGAATTTTCTTATAAGAAAAACAGGAATTTTCTTGCTGCTAAATGTGAGAAGAAACATTGATGTTGGTACAGACTGAGATTATTGAGGTTTCTGAGCAAGTAATGAAGGACATCATTGATCTTTACACCGGACTGTTTGCTTCCTAGCTAAAGCTGATACTTCTTCATTTTTCATAATACAGGACACTTGTGTGCCTTTTAAATTGGATTGTGGATCAAAATTTCTTTTCTAGCTCATTGTAATTCCTAATTTTATCTGAATTGTAATTTCACTGCACAATACTCTCCATATCATTAACACCCTGGGAACACTTCTCAGCACAGTGTTAATGCCAATTAAATATCTCCTCTCAGTGTGCTGCCTCCACTTGCTGAAAAGGAAATAAATGAAAAAAACAGCTAAAATCTTATCAGTGAGTACCAAGTAAACAGCCTCTTCCTGTCAGAAAGATAAGGGAATAGAAGAGTCTTTACCCAGGGATATGGCAAATGCCGAGTAAGGGCCCCGCACGGAAGAGCTGGGTGCTCCGAGTACCTGGGGGATGGTGCTGCAGGCTGGGATGGGGAAGTGCCGGGGAGCCGCACCCCTCTCCCTGCTACAGCTGCTTCCCCGGAGCCACGCCAGACTTTCACTCCATTTTCCCGTTCCATCTTAAAAGTCATTTGCTCTTTGGGCCTGCCACTCAGGCTGAATGCCTGTCCCATGATGCCATTGCTCCGCTTTACTTCATTCCTGACTTAAATTTATTCACGGCCAACCTCCGTCCATATGTTCTGGGGATGGTTTTGCCCTTTCACTGAAGACACGTTCTCGCTCTCTGCTGTGCGACACTCAGCAATCAAATCCCCTCCCCGCCAAGTTAAACAAGCCAAGCGCATTTTGGACTCATGCTCAGTTCCCCCCGTTGTCCTTTGCCACCACAGTTGACATCTGTTAACAAGATGCTGAGAGGGACGTCCATGGCCACGCTCCCAGGACAGGACACCTCTGTTCCCAATGTCACCTCAAATACCATCTTGCCCGGGGTTACGTGCCTGCTCTCCACCTGTCTCAGCCAAAGGTACGTTTCCCCACCAGGAAAGGTGCTGGACAGTTAACACACAGCCTAGAGGCGGCTGTTTTACACTGCAAGCACAGGGGAGCTCAGGCTCCTGGAGGACATGGACCGTACACCAAGACTACCTCAAAAATGGCTCCTTTCCCATTCACTACCAGCTACCGCTCCTTCCTGAGCACGCCTGGGCGACTCCTGCTCCCTCCTTGCACCCCGGCACACCGCGTTGGCTGGTGAACTGGAGACATGGCCAGGATCGGGAGCCCAAAAGCCATGGCTGCTACAGCCGCAGCTGAAACAGGCCCGGCAGCTGCAAGCCCCTGCGGCGGGGAGAGGGGAGTTCGTCGGCAAGCGCTCAGCACGGGGCCCGAAACACCACCCCATGGACAGCAGCAGTGGGTCCCCGCGGCACCCACAGCAACCAACTCCAAGGAGAAGCCACCTGAGGGCAATTTTCTGATGTATCTGCAGTTTCTGTTAGAAGCAGAAAAACAAAAGCGAAGGCTGTACCACCTGCGAGTCCTCAGTGCACCTCTGTGCAGTGCTCTGCTTTGCAGGGGGGCTCCATTTTGCACAGCGTTAGGTCTGCTGCAGTGATGCAGAAGGCGGGCTGTGTTTAACAGTTTTGTTCCGGTAGCTCCTAGCTTTCATAGGGGGAGATTTTAGTTTCTGCAAAAAGTTGAATATCTTTGCACCTTCAAACAATTTAGCCTTTCTGGAGTCATCTGAATGTGAGGTCTTGGTGGGTCTCTAGATTCCAAGACATAGCTTGGGCTAAATTGTCCATGTCTGCACCCTTTCTAATCAGAAAGGAATTATAATTTAAAAGAGAAGCACGTTAATTCACTCAGATATTTTTTTGTGACAAGGAGGTCTGGAAATAAATTGTGGGCAGAAAAAATTCCTTGTGGGTTCAGCTACTATGTCTGTGCTGGATGAAATACAGAAACACATACAGAGGTGGCAGAATGCCAGGGTAGGATCACTGAGCACTGAAAGATGGACCAGGAAACACGTTAGCAGGGAGTCTCACTAGTTTGGGGAGCAGCTGGGTGACGGAAACAGAGAAGGAACAATGGGTACCAGGGAGGACAAGAGGGCTTTCCACAGCCAGCTGTAAATGATGGGAAGAAATGAGACCAGGAGCATGCAGGAACAACAGGGGAAGCTTGAAGGATGGAGGGACCTGAAGTGGTCAGTTAGCCAGTGGTAGGTAGCTGGCAGCTGTAGCTTTGATCAAAGATGAACTGCCACTGCAAACTGGCTTTTAATGGGGGGAGGAGTGCATACCTGGAGGCATGGGGAAAAATAGAAAGGAAAAACGCAAGGATGAGAGGCATGCAAAAATCTCCAGAGCATTGATGATACTTGGGCTTTGAGAGAGTAATGAACTTAGGCCTTCTGAGTATGCTTCAATCCCTTGCTCTGCAGCTCTTCTCAGTCCTACTCTGTCCCCACTATGAGGGCTTACAGGGATTAACGAAGATGAAACAAACAACCTGAAATAGCATCCCATACATGCCTTAAGACCTTGATTAGGAGCACACGTACATTTTCTATGTACACAGGCAACTCTTTGCAAAGAGCTTATCACCCACCTGCCCTGCCAAACAGCCACACAAACTGCAACTGCTATTTCAATTCATAACTTTTCCCATTCTTCTTAAATCTGGCACTGAAAGGGGCTGCTGTTCTAGTCCTTTTTTACCTCGAGGGGTCTCATGCTCTGCAGCAATAAATGGGATCTGGGAATCTACAGACACTTTCAAGCTTTCACACAGAAATAGTATTTGCTGTTTTTATAATAATGTATTTCACAATGTATGCAACTTGGTAGATCACAAGTATCTGCAAGTAAGCACAATTGCACAAGGGAAAAGAAGGTCAAGTTAAGGATGATATGAGCATGATAATGTGATTTTCTTGAATTTGATGCGTTCATGCAGCTGCAGCACTGCAATTTCTCTTTCTACAGTCACATAGAGAATCCATTGTCTCCTTTTGGTGCTCCAAAATGTTGCATGTCCCTTGCCTACAGATGCCTGGGAATATAACTAACACACACCACTTTGCCAACTGCTTGTAACCTCAGCGGGGCCAAACACTGTAAAATTCCTGGAGGTTTATTAAAGCTGCTGTTCATGGCATTGCTCAGATCAGACACTGGCTGCTGCCAAGAAAAGCATCCTGCCTATGACTCCAAATTTTATGTAAACACAGGGAAGACCTAATGGCCCATTTTTGCAGCACCTAAGCCTGAGTGAAGCCATCCAGAATCAAACATATGGAAGTTTTAATTCCCCTGTTTTGACACTGATCATCCTGCTCGAACTGAAAGATGACTGCTGGAGTGTGGATGCTCAGGACTGTACTCAGACACAGGAGACCAGATTCCTTCTCCTTTTCTGGAGGAAATCGAGGCAGAGGGATGAAGAGTAATAGCCTCCTCTGCAGTGCAAGACCCCTCACTGGGGCCACAGAAGAGGGCCAGCCTGGCAGCCATTTAGGACAGGCAATGTGTGAGCCCTCATTGAGCTCTGGCATGAAGCTCTGACTGTGGTCTGATGTGAACACTGGTCCTCTCGCCCCATGCAAAGCTGGATGCACACCTGGCACCGAAGCGCTGGTGTCGTTTGTGCCCTCCTCTGGGAGCCTCCCTGCCAAATCATCCCCGAGGAGCGGCTGTGCTGACGTGGGCAGCGGGTAGCAGCAGCGGTTTGCATTGAGCAAACCCCAAGCAGCCACATCCCAAGGGAACTTCCCAAAGTGCTTTCAGAAGAGAGGACCCTGCAGTACTTACAGCTTTTAGTCAAGGTGTTCTGGGAATTCGCCCAAAGAAGCACTGGCAGCTGCGTGGCAAAGCTACCACATTTGGATTTCTCAAAAGTAAGCTCTTATCAGCCTTTCCCAAGCGTTTCTCTGGGCCCTTTGCAAACGGCTAAACTAAACACCTCCTAGCCTTTCACCTCAGAGAAATGCTTTTGGTGGCACCTTTGGAGCTTTAAGCTAGAAGCTGCTTCTCTCTTGTCTTTTAAAGCGCATTTATGCAGCAAATTAGAAGTACAAGCCAGCCAATGTAAACATATGTAAACACATTCTGGATGAAGCCAGCAGGCATGAGGCACAGCAGCACTGACGACGGAGCAGCTTGAGCTTTATCACCGCTGCAACCAAAGCATAAACTCTCCAGGGACCTCTACGTAACTAGTCTGGTTGCTAAAGTTACCAAAGCACGTGCAAAAGCCCATCATGTATTTGTCACTATTCTTACTCAGGCTAGTTACAAGAACGCTAACACAGGCTCTGATCCCTCACGCTTCTGTTTTGCTGTCGAGGCATGCACACTCTCCTTTTTTGCCTGCCTGCAGCCCCAGATCAGATGCATTGGGTCCCAGTGCTGGAAAATTACAAATTACTGCTGTACTTTGCTGCTGCAGGGAGGGCTGTCATCTGAGAGACCGTGTAGTGCTGCGGTCCTGATAGGAAGGACATTTTTGACTGTGCTGCAGCTCTGTGCCATCTTTATCTCCCCTTTCCCATGCAGTGGCTGGAGGCTCCCAGCGGAGGCAGGGAGAGGCTGATGCTCTGTAAATGTCTGCGAGCTGGCACCACACCAGGGGATGGGAGTCTGATGGCAAATGAGTGAGTTGTACTGCCTGCAGTTTGAGTGGTGGAGTTGGCAAACACCACCTCAAACAAAACGACTCGGGGTCCCATTTTGTGGCTATCTGGCATGACAAGCCTTATCTACACTATTAGACAAGTGATTCCACTGGCTAATCTTACTCCAGCAATCAGCAGAGCTGTCCAGATGGCCAAGGCTGAGCAAGTGTGGTTTCCATGTGAATCCAGGCAGAAGTATAGCAAAAATCGCAGCTCCTTGGTCTGCCTCTGGCTTTTGCAAGTGCCAGTACATTACTGCTGGCCTTCAGCAGAGGTTTCCACTTAAGCTTGACCGAGCTTATCGCAAATCCCTGCTGCATCATAAGCAAGCTCTTTTTAATTTCATCGGCTAGATGCGTCACTTCTACGCTGTGTGCCGCCTTCTCCCCCTCCTCTTCTCTGGTTGAGCAGGCAAAGGGGAAGTCACTGCTTCCCAATCACCCTCTCCGCACCCCCTAGCATGCCCGGCGTGGATCTTGGCTGGCATTAACACCATTGGGCCAGAAATGGAGACTTTTTGAGCAAACCCCAGGCACCTGCTTCCCAAAGCAGTGAGTGGCCCTGGTCATGTTTAGGAAGGCAAGGGTGGCACGTGGGTCTTCCAGAGGAGGCTGTGCCCTCTGGATCCTTCCCTCACCCTCCCCAGCTGCCTAAGCCCTGCGAGGGGTTTTGGGTGCACTCCTCCGCACAGCCATCTCTCTCCTCTATGCATGAGGCAGCTAATAAATTGGGTGGTCTTAATATGCAATAGCTAAATACTTTTCTGATTTAGCCTGTAAAAGCTACAAACAGGGGCAAATCGTAAACAAAACCTCAGTGCAATGTTTGAAGAAAAGGTGGTGTTCATCACTGTAATATACTGGACATAAAATTTTTTAAATGTTAGGAAATTATTCTTCCCCCATGGAAAATATTGATTATAAATCACCTTTTTGTTCTTATTTATTTTTTCTTACTTTATTCTTTCAACTACAGTTAAAAGAAGCATAAACAGACCTGCCTCAAAATGCTGAAAGCTGAAAAATGTGTCAGTTTTTGAATTTTCAATAAACCAAAACTAAACCTATTTAAAAAATATCAGTTATTTAGACAAATCAATTTTCACTCCAAGCAGAAACATTTTCTACCATTCGTACCATAAACATGAAAAATATGAGAACCGTTTAAAGAAAATCATGTGTCTGTTACTTTTCAATGTACAGCTTGCTTTTACCAAGGCTGATAAAATTACTAGCAACTAGGCTTTCTTCTCATAAGCATTTACAGAATTGGTAAGAAGTCCCTCACCACCATGAATTTATTTCTGACCCCAAAGGTCTGTGCTCTGATGCTGTGAATAGATTGGTAGACCAAGAAAAAGGGAGTTAAAATTCATGTTTTAAATTACAGCTACAATTCAAACATGTCATTTTAAATCGAGGCCAATTAAAAGCTTGGGAGAAAAACATGTAAGACCACAGTATATAGCAACAACCTACAACAAAATATATGTTGCTAATCAAAAGAGCAAACAGCTCCAGCTTCACAATTTAAACATACTAATTTTAATACTGACCAACAGGTGTGTCCTCCGAAAGGCTGAGAAGTGCCATGTTCCCGTTTGTGCTTCTGGCTCCATTATCAAAGAAATAGGGGGCATAATTTGCCTGAACTGCAATTAAAACAAAACAGAAGCCGAAGAAAAGCATTTTGTAGGTGGCAGTTATTTGGCTTTGTTACCTGACTCTCAGTAAACATGAGCTGTTTTGGGAATACTATGAGTGCGTAACATGGACTTTTGCTGCAATGGACTTTTAGAACTGTATCTGTACAGATATTTTTAATAAAATTACTTCTACGTGCCACTGTGCCAGTATTCAAACAGCAGCAAATAGAGAGAAAGAGAGAGAGAGAGTATATGGGGAAAAAAACCCAACAGAAACAAATCAAGTAGCAGGATGTCTTTCAAAAATCTCAATCAGTTCCAGACAGCTTCACTGCAAAATTAACCTCTTCAGCTTGCAACGACTGTACACCTCTCCCCTACTCTACACATGCAAGTCTGAAACTTTCCCAGTGCGTTGGTACCTTACCCAGTATTCTAAGCACACTCTGTCTTAAAATTATGCCTACTGCATGAGCAATGAGCCATAATTAAATAGTTACTTACTTGCTGCCAGACAACAGCAAACAAAGTTCAAAAAAAAAAAAAACAAGAAACAACAAATTAGTTGTCATTCTACTGACTGACTGTTAGAGATTCAAAATAGCCCATTTGAAACAAAACTCCAAATATATAAACACAGAGGGTAACATTTGCACAGGGATCAGTTGCCAAGGAAAATATTTCAGGACAACATTACCACATCAGTAAGGATTACTACAGGATTTAAGGTTATGCCTGTATCCTCCTATATTTTTACTTAACAAAGTGATTATTGTACTCACCCAGGCAAACGTGCACCAAACTGAGAAATAAGGAGGGGGTGAAATGCCTTACATGCTTCATCCCGCTGAAGAAAGGGACAATTTCTTCTCTGTTCCAATTTCTTCTCTGTTTTTTTTTCCCCTCTCTGAAAGGTCCAGGAAAGTGTCCTTCAGACTGATGTAGTGGAGAAATGTGCAAGAGGCAGGAACAGATGCTAAGATGTTAAGCGGATGACACGTCTTAATTTCTGAGGAATTTAAAGAAGCTCCTTCCTACCACCTAATTAGACCAATTACTTTGCAGGGAGCTGTGGGACTCATTTCTGAGACAAGATTTGGAGGAATCAGTGTAACTCTCATAGGTTCTGCTGTTAGTACTGTATTTGTGCTGTCCAAACACACAAGTCAGAGAGAAGGTAAAGTAGAAAGTTGTTTTCTTTCTGAACTCTATCTTTAATTCTCTAAGCCAGCCCTCTATTTTTGAGAGCTAAAAGAGGTTTCTCTTTATTTTAGCTTTGATAATCTTGAGAAACTACACAGGAAGAAAATCTAACATTAGCAACAAACAGTAAATGTGATTGTTACTGCTTTAAAGGAAGCAATCACATTTATGATAGCAAAAAATACACAAAATTGCATACTAAAAACGCAGAAGTCAGAATGTTCTTTTCATGAGCTGGCCTGATCATTTAATTCCTAAACTGCATGAATGCCTGAAAGCATCTTTTACATTCAGCAGGTAATTTTTAATCAACATACTAAAAAGCGTGTTTAACCAGCACCACGTGGAAAATGTTAACAAAGTAGCTTTTTTTCGTTGCCCGTTTTGGTTTTCTGCACATAAATGTGTTTGCACTAATTTAAAATACATATCATCCCATAAACTATAGGGTTATATAGGTTAAAACCCCCAGCCACTCTGGGAAGTCGTTCACAGACAAAGCTTTTGGCTGCTTAGAAGGAACTTCACCAGTGGTAATACTTAGCTTCCAGTCAAGGAGATGTTTACATAGTGGCTTAGCTGTTTAAACTTGACCTGAGGCAAAGCGCTTTGCCCTTTAAGGATGTGTTAACGGAGTTTTCTGTTTTTTAATTAACAGCCTGCGTCAAAGAAATTAATCAGGAGTTCTCCCACACTTTCTGCCTGGCAGAGACCCTTGGCGCCGGTGCGATGGGCGCCGCT